GGGGGGGGGGGTTACTGCACTGATTCATTAAGAAGAGATGGAGGTAAAAGGCAGTGAGGCAGTAACTCAGAGCTTAATATCGGGACGGGAGAGGAAAACATGCAAGAGAAAAATGTTGAAAGTATGAAACGGACGTCGGCCTGTGGAGAGATGAAGACAAGACGGAGAGGAGAAATAAACGAGACATGGAGAGAGAGAGAAGCGCTGCGTCGCAATATTTCTTTTACAGTTCTGTTGTCTGCAGTCGGCCAGAGAGTTACGGAGCCCAGGACCTGCTGCTTTAAAGGAGCCGGGGCTCTTCTCCTCATTAAAGTTGCACCAATTCTTCATATTAATTACACTCCAAGGGCCGGCAGACTCTCTTCCGGTGGGCCTTCTGTTTCAAATCATTTTGCAGCAAAGCTCTAAAAGAAAGTCCTCGCAAAGGCTCTTTGATAGAGAAAGAAGCCCGAACTGCTGACGCCGGTCCCTCACTCCGGGGTTAAACTCATAACAGATTTTAATTGAACCGATATCATCATAGTGTAATAAATGTACGACGCTGAATGTCCCTTGAACGTTCACCAGCAGGGATGAGAGTAACAACTGTCAGGACGTTTTTATGACTCCTTTCAAAGCATCCATAATCTGTGACATTTGTGTGACATTAGTTCGATGTTCTGGACACATGGCATCAGTCGGTAGCGTGTATCAATACTGATGTAACCTTTCACTTTCATTTCATCCGCTTTCTTTACCCCACCTCTCTCCTCCCTCTCCTTCTGCCCCACTCACCTCTCCTCACCTCCCATCCTTCTTTATTCTTTACTTCCTTCTGTCTTCTTTCTCCTTCTGTCCCCTCCTTACTTTTCTATCACTCACTCGTTCCTTATCCCCGTCTACTCCCTCCCTCCCTCCCCTCTGCTCCCTCTCCCCCAGGTGCTGAAAGGTTTCCCAGAGTGTCTCCAGGCGGATATCTGCCTCCACCTGAACCGGACCTTGCTGCAGAACTGCAAGGCCTTTAAAGGCTCCACCAAGGGCTGCCTCAGGGCGCTGGCCATGAAGTTCAAGACCACCCACGCACCGCCGGGGGACACGCTGGTCCACGCTGGGGACGTCCTCACGGCCCTCTACTTCATATCCAGGGGGTCCATAGAGATACTGAGAGGAGACGTGGTGGTAGCCATCTTGGGTACAAAATATATATATATTTATGTATATTGATCTGTCAATATATGTTTTACTGATTACCAACTACTGTAGCCCCTGTTCCATGGGAACGTTTAGGTTATTAGAAACAGAATCTGAAGCAAGAACATGACAACTCTTGCAGGAGATGAATTGAGGGTACAAATAGTTTGGTCCAATACTTGAAGTTCCATTGCAGCCTGTAGGTGAACTCAGGGCTGCTTCCCTATCACCTCAGGTAAGAGGTGTTCACACACTGGTCCATAGCCTCCTGTGTCAATCCAGACTCTGAGAGATGCTTGCGTATCTCTTTCTGGGTGTTGACTGTGTTCAGATCTCTCAACAATATGTTCTAGCCGGTAGCGCCATCTGCTGGAGAGCACGAGGTGTTACTGCTGATGGTTCAGAGTCAACACAGGACAAGACAAAAAAGTACTTTTCTAATCTGTGAAAACAGGTAAAAAAGTTGGCACATGATTTATTTATTTTTTGTCTGAACAATTGTTTTTGTGTGTTTGATGCTGTTGTACTCCTTTAGGCGACAAGAGGCTGCTGTTCACTACTCCATGTGTCAAATAGGACTTAAAGCTTTCATGTTTTCTTCCAGATGAGAATTATTTTTTGCACTGGCACCTTAGAGCTTCCCTACATGCCACTCTCATATATCTGAGTCGTAAAAAATAATTATAGAATAATAATTGAAGTAAGAGACAAATTCCCTCTAAATGTTAGGATACCTTACATCAGGGGGGTCAAACTCCTCTTCACTCTGGGCCAAATCAGCATCACGGTCACCCTCAAAGGGCCGGTTATAAATGTAAGACTGTAAATGTAAGTTCTCCTAACATATTGGTAAACTGTTATATAAATGTAAAAATATATTTAAGCACATTTCTGTTATTATAACTTAAATCCTTTTAATTTAGGGTTAATAAACCCACATTACTCTATCACAGATCAAACTATTAAAGAAAATATCAAACACAAGTTATTACAATAACTTGTTCAAAGCTTAAAATCCTTTCATGGGTGCGTTTGCACAATCCCACGTGAAGCATTTCATGTGTTGTAAAGACACGTTTAAAGTAGTCTTCAATGTACTCACAATACATTTCCATGTCAAATACAGGGTAACCTATGAAGAGCTGCTTCTATGACTGTTGTGTTCAAGTATCTCATAACTTCAACTTTCTATCTCATAATTATGACTTTCTATCTCATCATTTCGACTATGGGGATATTTTTACTATCAAGTCTAACTTTTAATTAATATTTTTTATTTTTTACTTTTTTTTATGCTGGCGGATTCGCGGGCCACATGAAATGACGTGGCAGGCTTTGAGTTTGAGACCCCTGCCTTACATAGATCACAATTAAATAAAAGATAGTTATGTTTGATATTTCCATTCACCTACAGAGCTGTTTCATTATTGTTATGTAGGATTTGTTGGTCAAAGGTTTCCCCTGGTTGTACTGGCTGCTGGTGCAGGATGAAGTAACGACGGAGCTCTCTCTCTTTCTCGTCACCTTTCCCAGGGAAGAACGACATCTTCGGCGAGCCCATCAACCTGTACACCCGGCCGGGTAAATCCAATGCCGACGTGAGGGCTCTGACCTACTGCGACCTTCATAAGATCTTCAGAGAAGATGTTCTGGAGGTGCTGGACATGTATCCGGAGTTCGCAGACCACTTCTGGAACAACCTGGAAATCACCTTCAACCTCCGAGATGTGAGTTTACAGCCTCGTTCCCTGTGCTGTTGTATCGAAGCAAAGAATGTTACTTTAACTTTTGCTTTTATTGGTAGAATTTATCTTTTAATAAAGTCCATTTAATGCTGGTTTCCAGACCAACATGATCCCAGGCTCTCCGAGCAGCGATGACTCCAACTGCGGGGGTTTCAACAAGTTACGCAGACGCAAGTTATCTTTCCGAAGACGTACAGAAAAAGGTAAACCTTCCTTTATTGCTCATCTTAAAAAAAATCATATTATCTGACTTTCCGATACAACTTCAGTAACTTTCATTTGATGATGCAGTTTATCTGGCAATCCTCCTCCTCTGGTGGTCATCTTTGAAAAGTCACTGACCGATCTCCCTCCTTTTTGTTTTTTTCAAAATCTTTCCTCAGATGAAGCAGACGCCGGAGAAATCAAAAAGTCCCATAAGTCTGTGAGACGGAGACAGAGGGAAACACCCAACAACCAAAGCCAGGAGGGGGCACCTAAGCGGCAGTGGCAGGCACACCGAAGCTCGGTGTCTTTGCACTCCAGCGGCGACGAGGTAGAGCTTCATCTGGTCTAAAGTGTTTATTGTATTGTGGTGACCGTTGTTGTACTCATTGGTGCAATAACAACTGGAACTAATGTCCTGGATCTTCACTTCTAACAGGGGGGGGAGTCCATTATGAACAGACTCGCTCCTCCGCCGGCGATGCTGGAGAATCCGCATGCTAAGTCCAGCAGCTTCAGCGAGAACACCGAGGCCGACGGAGATCCCGAGACTGGGAACACCTGCAACGCTCTGTCGGGTAAAATTAGAACCAAAGGGCGTGCACCTGTCCCTGTGAAGTATACAGTAACGCCCCATCCTGTAATTTCACGCAAAGTCACTCTATCCGTCTGTCTCCCGCAGGTGCGTTCTCGGGCGTGTCCCATATCTTCAGTTTCTGGGGGGAGAGTCGAGGGGGTGGTCAGTACCAGGAGGTTCCCAGCTGCAGCCTGGCCTCCCCCCCACCCCTCAACACGCCGCTGCACAGCCTGAGCCGGCAGCAACGCAGCCAGCTGGACACACGCCTGGACCTGCTGCAGAAACAGCTCAGCAGGTACGGCGGGTCGAGTGTCGGGGTGTGGATCCCTGCTGAAACCCTGCGGGCATCCGACAGTTTGAGACCCTTGCTTGTAGCCGGCTGCCTCTTGAGAAAGTCTCTCACCCCCGAGCCCTGTAGCCTTTAGCTGGATGAGGCTCCTTTGTCAGGACCTGTTGTGACCACAGGCTGTGTCTTAAAGCCTACAGCTATGAAGCCGGCTCTCCAGCTGAAATGTTGATGAGGAGTAGCGGTGTGTAAGGAGAGAACACCCCCCCCCTCCCCCACATGCTGAAGATATCTGCACATGTGGCAAAGTCTCAGTTTGACTTCAGAAAGTGGAACAAAGCTCCACAGGATGAGTCCTCATTAGCTGTATAGGAGCCAGCAGGTTTGATAAGGAGGCTTCCACCTCTCTGTATGTGTGGAGCTCACTTTATTCCCACAGTAATGAGGTATAATAAACCTTCAGACTCCTTTTGTTCCAGCTCTAGAAGTAACAGCGGGATGGGAGCAAGAGAAATGCAATGTTAGCAAAACAGAGTTTAGAAAAGTTTAACAATTAGAATGAGAAGTTTTTGCGAGAAGTGGAGGGTAGACAAAATAATGTGTCCATCCAGATGTTAACAGCAGCTCTGAATGCTAATGACACGCTAACGTCACGGTTGAGATCCGGGGACATGTGGTGATTTACTTCCTGGTTCAGCTTTTAGCTAGTGTTACCATGGTTACTCTCTCTTTACAAAGAGCAATCATACCAGACGTTAATATTCCTGAATGTTCGCAGTTTACTTGGTGAGTCCTTTGGTACTCTAACTGATGTTAACGACGGACAACATTAGAACCGGGAGGATAAAAACACACGAGATTCCTTTAAACGCAGAGATAACATCTGCACTTTTAATGTCCTTAATAGAATAAATAAATTGAAATTGATAGAATATAAATGTGCCCTCCGTGTAGCTATTAACGGTGGATCATCTTCCACACACTGTGTGCAGGCTGGAGAGTCGCATGTCGACGGACATCGGAGCCATCATGCAGCTGCTGCAGAGACAGATGGCCCTGGTTCCTCCCGCCTACAGCGCCGTCTCATCGCCGCCTCAGGTGATGACACACACACACACACACACACACATACACACACAGCAGGTCGCTGGCCGTCACAGAGGTCAGGCAAGCATCTGTCTCTAGGCGAGACCCAGTGATAAAAGACAGCTTTTTCATTATAATCATATGCTGACCCAAACTGCGAATAGACGGAGGGCTACGCTTCCTGCAGACCAATAACATGCTGTCTCTTGCAGGTCTCACCTCACCCTGGTCCCGGCCCAGGACCCGGTCCAGGAGAGAGACTGGTCCAGCCTATTACACCTCTGGAGACAGACACCCTGGCCTCCCTCTCACAGGTGAAGCAAATGCATTAATAAAGTTTTTGCTGACTGGAGGCTGTCATTGGTCCGCAGTGGATATAAACTATATAATAATATGAACTAAATTTCCATTGGTACTTCTCCTACTTAGTAGCTACACGATGTTTGTGTCAGACTGGTCTCATCCAGCAATGCTTACGAAAAGTAATGTGCCGTAATTCATAGATATCCCGTGAAATTGTTTAGTATGTTAACCACACACTCATCAACGAGGACGTTTAAAGACAGCTAAAGCACGAAGTAACAGCACTTCTGTGGTTATTTCAACCCAAACAACCAACTTTTCCTGAACCTAACTAAGTAGGTTTGTTGTCTAAACCTTACTTTGTTTCCTGTGAAGATGGAAGTTTATTTTGAAAAGATGTATGAATGTAACAAGCGGAAATTGACACATGTTGATGGACTTCTGTTGGAAAACGCACAAAAAATGCGGAGTAACTTTTCCTAACATATCATACGAAGCGTCTTCTGAGGATATGTGTCAGGGTTCTCTTTAGGCTATAGAGTTTATTTGAATGGGATCTCAGTACCTCTCTCTGTTATCTAAGGAACTAGAATATCCTGCAGCAATTGTGATAAAAAAAACGTTTTGTCACAACCGGTTTGCTTATAAACCTGGTAAACTACAGCACAAAACAACCTTCATAAAACAATAACTTGACTTGAATATTAACAAGTAAATGACACTCACCTCCTCAACTTCTTCCCCTGCAGATCTTGGATTCGCAGCACTTCGAGGAGTTCCCAGCCAAGCCCCTCGACACCCTGCAGCCCCAGGACGCCCCGCTGATCAACCCCAACCGGGGCCAGCTCGCTCCCCCCGGACTGGACAGCCTGGGGCAGCACCTGGAGCTGGGACTGGGCACAGGGCCTGGGGTCATCTCCGGGCCAGCCGTAGGTTCATGTGTCGGGGTAGATTTAGCAGCGGGGTCCAGCTCAGGAGTAGGGTTAGACTTTGGTTCGGGGGACTGTATGGGCGCTGGGGTCGGGCCGGCAGCTGGAACGGGGCTGTCTTCCCTGGATCCTGAAACCCAAAGGAGGCTGTCCCTCCAAGAACCACAGACCCCTCTGGACTCACGGACACCACAGCGACACAGCTCTGACCCAGGGGGGAGCTAAGGAAGAGGGGAAGGGGGGGGAGAGGGATGGAAGGAGGGTTACAGAGAGAGAACGAGAGTCCCTTCCTGTTTCTACCGTTTGGAGATCGAAAGGCAACTACTGTACCTACCACCAAAACCCTTCAGGGCACCCATCTACTGTACCTTCACCGCTGATTCACCTCCGACCTTCTAAGAGAGGACACTCAACTCAGAAAGAGTGAAGCCAGGTGGAGAGGTTGAGGCTTCTCTCTCTCTCTGTCTCTCTCTCTCTCTCCCACAAGTCCCCCTCCATCCCCCCATCGTGGAACTTTCTGAACTCCACAGCGGTACAACCTTTAACCAAAACTACCAACAGAGCAGAGAGGAGCTCTGTCACTTTATGAACACGGTCCGCCTCTCTGTCGACCTGCTGAAGGATGACACATAACACACACAGATGACTGCTGTCCTGTAGGAGAATCCCTTTACTGCTGAGTCCAGCGTCGGACGACCGACGAGACCAAGACAACGACGAAACGAGTAGCCATTTACGTCTTGCACTGAGAATCCTATCGAGATCATGACTATTCTATCCTATATGTCCGTGGCGCTTCCGAAAAACTCGCAAACCGGTTGGTGAATTGTAGTGTTAGCTGGTCTAACAGGAAACCTGCTGTCCCGTTCTGTTATTGGTCCCCCCGCCCCCTCCTCCGCCCCCTCGTCCCAAGAGCACACTGGATTGGCTGGTTTGCACCTCAGGGGTGGGAACTGGAGGGTTAAAAGCCATGATTTTTTCTCGGTGAACATACCAGCTACCCTACCACAAACATTGTACAGATTTGCTCGAGAGCGAAGAACATGCGTCATGCTCAGGCAGTGTCGCTAACAGGTAAACTGGCAAACCTACGAGTTTACCGTGAGGACAGTGCACCAAAAAAACAGCAAACTATAAATACTTAAACAAGCAGGAAACCCACGTTTACTAAAACCACAAGCTATGACCTTGTAGAGAACGTATGCCGATGACATGACACTGGCCTGCTGTCATTTCTATAAATCTAAGCACATGCATGAAGGAAAGAGTGATTGATGGGGAACCTAGTTTATCACAGTTGGATTTGCTACCTCAGATTTCATTGGTCCTTACTTGTTCTTCACCTGAGCAAGCGCCCAGAATGCTTTCACCTTCTACATAAACCGGTTTTGTCTTGCGATTCCGTAAATAGAACAAGCTCGCCAGTTTACGATGACCAGCCCAATGCGCCATCATTCTGTGTACAGTGCAATATGCAATCAGCAAGAAGAGATGTGTGAGTGCGCCTTAATCTCATTATGTGTTCAGGTCTGAACCTGTTTTCAGTTAGTTTCTGCAGAGACTGGCGTAGAGTGCGTTTGCTTCCACTAGCTGTAGAAAGTCACTGGCTTCTAACGTGGAGGACACATGTGGACTGGTTTTAGTGGTTTAAAAGATCGTTTTGAATCTAGTCAGCACAAATAAAAACCCTTTACTGTACAATGTAGGTTTTAAACCCAAGAGCTCTCAATGCTACAGCAGTAGTGATCCCAGGAGGAAGAGAACGTACCTCAGCACCACTGTTTTTGAGGATACTTTACATTAACTGTCATCACCTCCCATTTTAAAGTACTCGGATCCTCATCTGATCCCTGTCGTGTCATGGTGTTAGCAGGCCGTTAACACGCGTCTTTGAGGTGCGAAGATGCAGCATATGTACACATACTGGCAAAACAAAAGATGCACCAATCGGTTTGCAATGAAAGCTAACAGAAGCTAGTTCTAGTCCTTTGTGTTGGGATGGATTCCTCTATCACTCTGCTCTGTTACCAGCATCCGTGATCTTTCCTCTGCCTACATCATATTGTATCACTAGAGTGGAAGGTTGTGCGTCATGGAAGCGGTGCACAAGATAAATCCAGCTACAACATGAAAAGTTCATGATGAATGATCTGGTCTCAGTGAGCAGGATGAAGGCGGGTTCCTTCTCAGTGAAGCAGCATCAAGACGAAGGTATTCTTTGCATACTAAGAATATCTGTATATGAAACAAAAGTCCTGGAACTAAGTTCTGATCTTAAGTTTGAAAATGTATCTTCTAATAGTCAGTAGTGTTACACTTTGCAAAGTGTATGTCCATCACATACACCCCCCCCCTCCCCAGTTAAATCTCTCTTTATATCTATCAATGGAATAAATAGCAATATAATTTGCAGGCAAAGATGTACGAAATGACCAAGAGCAGGTGCAATGATAAAAACCTAATATCTTCAATAACTAGCCTATGACATCTTTGAATTGTCTTCCCTGACACAGAATGATCCGGGCAGAGCCCCGACAGAGGAGGGGAGCCTGTTGAAGAAGTGCAATAGTCCTTTAAACAGTTAAGACTTGTAGCAACTTAACTGCAACCCGCTAATGTTCAGCACTTTATCTCCTAAACAGGGCCGATGCTTAATGAAGACTCAGGAACGTTTCAGTGATGTTAGAGGGGTCCCTTTTCCTTTGTCCCACACCTCCAAACCAACCAATCAGAAGGGAGGAGAGCTCAACTCCGTTCAGAGCTCCCCTTTAACGCAGACTTGTGAAGATTGTATTTGGCCGCTCGCTGGTCTAAGCTGTTGTGTTTATTTATTGTGGGATTATTTCTCTCTGCCTGTGTTTTTTATCACTTTGTCTTGGGGTAAGGAGAGGGCTGTCTGTGTAAACACGTTGCTCCCCATTCTCAATCGTTACTATTTTATTTATTATTATGAATTATTCTATACTGATCCAGTTCCAGTCAATACCCAGTGACTCTAGAGTTCCCACCACTTCTTCACCAGTCAATCTTTATTTTTCCAGTGTAGTGCTGAGGCTGTGATTTTTCACTCGGCATCACGCGCGCTGTAGCGGGAGCTTAGCTAGCGTTGAATAACGTCACCTCGTGGCCTGAACCGTCTCTTCACGCTTAGGACGACGACCTCAAAGAAGTTACTGAAGGTGGTTGTTGTTGACTCTTCTTCCTCGCGGTGACGGTAGACCTTAGTGGGATATTCAATGCTACAGAATACATTCATGTAATGCATACTGCATATTATAAGGGTAGAGGGTGCACTTTGGGACTGGGGGGGGGTGTTTGTTGGATGGGAATAAGGAGTGTTTTTTTTCCTCTTTTTGCATTTGAACACACAGATATAATAACCCAGCATACACACACACACACACACACCTTCCTTAATGGCTCTTCCATACCGCTGAGCTTTTTTTCAGCTGCGTTCATCTTTCTATGAGTTCTTGACAGACTTGCGTCCTGTCTCTGTAGATACTTTGAGCACCTGGGGAGGGGGGGTTTGGTACCGTTCACACTGGATCCGCTCTGCCTACTCCTCGCCTGTACATACCAACTTCCACTACTTGTAAAGGAATCAAAGTCTTTGGCACTCGTATAGCCAGCACTATGCAGAAACTGAAAACAAGTCTTTGGCATGCTTTGAGATGCAGAATACTATAGAGGAAAATATACTAAATAAATAAAGTCTGCTCGAATTTCTTATTAAAATAATCACCC